TATATATACATTTTTAATATCAAATGTCTACTCTGTAACGCAGAGAAGGATTTGTCTGAATTTCTTTGGGAAGAAACTCCTTCTAAGTAAGTATACATATCTGAAGATCTGTGCAAAAAAAAAGAAAAAAGTAGAAAAGAGATCCAGAGTTCAGTTATGGAGAAGGCAGAAAGCAACTAGACTCACTTCAGGGTAAAGAATTTAACTCACGTAAGCAAATATTTATTCCATACTTAGAAACAGAGACACTGAACAAACAGCTACTGTACCTTTGAAATAAATGCAGCATGGTTCTTACAATCCTGCTTTGTCCTGAAGGAACAAATTTTTGATAGGTTATCCATCAGCACTAAGTAAATAAACTATACTCTTTTAGCATTCTGTGTATCTTCAGTAATTGACAAGGCCAATTTTATTTTATTAGGGATGACTTCCTTTCTTCTTTCCTATATCTTTCGTTTATTCTTTATCCTGCATGTCCTATCCTGTCTTTCCCTTTGCAGTTATAAAGCGACAGAAGTTGACAAAGAAAATTGCCTTGTACCACACATATTTTGTAGTAAGACACTCTTCAGAGATCAGTAACACAGTAGAACTGAACATGAACAGTATCTTAATCCTTTTCCTGCTGCTATCATTATGGTCAAAATGCCTCTTTACAAGAATGCCATCTTTCTCAATTACAACTGAGACAGACAAATTAAGGTATATACAAGATGTCCAAAGACCCAATTACTTTTATTCTTGAAAATAGAGATCCACTGGACATTTTTACATTATTTAGTTTGACTTATAGAAGTATCATTAATTTTAGTCAGATGAGAAACAACATTAGTTTGAAAGATGTATGCTGAAATTTAGAATGATTGAGTAATATATATAAAATAAAGATTTGCCTTAGAAAGCTAAAGAGAAGCATAATTCAGTCAGATTATCAAGAATAAAGGAAGATATTAATGGAAAATACAACTACAGCTTTTTGAAGATGTCAAAGAAAAGACAACAGAAGACAGTTCAGTAATGAAACTATAGGCTATAAATTAATTCTGTTCTGGTTGAAGGCTCTCATGTTGACAAAATATAGGGGTTTTTTTTGTTTGTTTGTTTTTTTCTGTAGTGTCAATGCAAAATGCCCTTGCTAAATCATGTAATTATCACAGAGCTGTGAAGTAGGCAGATGGAAAGAGTATGTATATTCCTCATAGTTAGGTAAATAAAAAGACAAAGATAAACTGCTTATTCATTGTTGGTTTGGTAATCTAGTCTTTGTTTAGTGTGAATCAGGCTTCTTGACCAAATAGAGGACCAAAACCAACACTCCAGTCATATCGTAAACTAAGATAACAGTGATTTACCACTATACTGGTACAATTGTTTAGAGGAGAACTGATTTGGTTTTCATAGCACTATCAGAAAAAGGGATAACTCATCAAAACTACATGATGTTATTTAGCCAGCACTTTGCAATGACAGCAATTGGTAGCAAACTGTCATAGGATGCAGTCATGAAAGTATTTTCTGAGGGTCCTTTTAGCATATATTCTCTAGATTTATCACCAGTGCATAGAAAAGGAACAATATAATTTTCTTTCATCTGTGTGACTGTGGGGAACCATAGCAGAATATTATGGGTGCTGAAGTCAATAGCCTTTCATCTATGTAGCATTTTTTTACTTCATTGTTGTTGTATCCATAGAACAAAAAAGCATAGGCAGAGAGCATCCACAGGTAACTGCAAGAAAATAACATTAGCAGGAGATAATATATGCTAATTTTAGTAAAAAGACTAGAGTAAAAAATTCCTAAATAATTACTTATAAATAATACTTTTTTAATAAAGTTTTGTCTGACAATCTCAGTCCCAGATATCAAGTGAAAAATATGCTGTTACTTCCAGTCAAGATAAGATTTCAGCTTTTTATTTTATTTTTATTCATCTCGGGAGATGTCTTATGTGTATTTTGTCAGCTCTTCTGCCCTGTTCATATGTTAGCATTGCATTTTTCTATTCTTTGAGATTAATTTTATCAAATGGTACAAAATGTAAAATGCAACCTAAGTGATCTATGAGTAACAGCTAGGGAAAGGATATTTTTCTTTTCATTAACATGTTACGTACCATATTTGTTGTTTTTATGAACTAAAAGGAATTCTGTCAGGTATATTATAAAATGTTAAGCTCAATGAAAATGAACATTCAAGCCTGTAAGCACTTCTATTAGAAATGATTCATAAAAAATGATTTAAAGATAGTTTATATGACATACACTGGTTCTTTGGTATTTTTTGACAGCTGTTTTACAAATGTACTTATTGCTCAGAAATCACTTTATACATAAAAATAAATTAATACATTTATACAAAATTATTTCAACCTAAGTTAACTCTCTATGGCAAGCACTTACTGTACAGTTCTGAAGAACTATGATGCTCAAAACGATGAAAAAATCATTCAGCTGTCTTTGCTGATGGTATAGATTTCAGATTCCTATTCCTATTGCAGAAGAATCAGCCTTTAAACTTAGCTATCCAAGCAGTCACTGAACTGAACACTTTGAAGCTAAAATAAGTCCATAGGAAATGTGAAAGATAACCACATGTGAAACTCTATTTCTTGTGTGTTTAAGTCAGAGCTGTAGCTATACATCTCTGTGAAACTGTGCACGTAAGTCTTGCTTCTTTGTTCTTTGGTTCTATGAAGTAGTTGCTGAATAAAGACAGACCAGTCTCAGTTCTCTGCTTAAACATTTTGCACCAACTAAAAAAAACAAATAGTCCTTCAAAAAAAAAAAAAAAAATGAAAACACAGACTGGCAAGAAGAAGTAAAGTAGTTCTTTTATTTTGAAATTATTCCATGCATAGTCAATGGTCTTTTTAATCTTTATGCTTTAGATGAGGAGGATTTAATAGCGTCTGCAAAGTTTTCTCTTAAAATGTCAGTTCTGAGAACCTGTTTTGATATTCTGAAGAAACAAGTGCAATCTTGATGAGATTATCTCTACAAGGATTTTGTCACGTCTACACTACAGACCTGATTTTGTAATGTATCTGAGAGCCATGCTAAGTAGAACTCTCAACACTCATGATATGCTTAAATTGAAGTGTGTTCTTGAATTATGCCTGTGGTTTGGTATGACCATCATTCACTGTCCACTGAGTGGGAATGAAACAAGTGACAAAGTTGCATGGGAAATGCTGAAGAATTAAAGTTTTATGCATTCTTCATCTTCATTCAGATTTAATCTGATTTGAAAGATATTGCTCAGAAAGTAATGCCTCATATATAATTCCATGAAAACTACAAAGAATACAAAGAGCATAATAACAGTACTTGATAGAGCAAATTCTCAGCTTCAACACAGTATTTTTCAACATAATCACCACCACTAGTTATGCATTTTTGCCAACGATGGACAAGAGTCTGCATGCCATGTTCATAAAAATCTGCACCAGTGGAGGTAACCCACTGTTGTTGTCACCACTGCTGAAACACACCACCCACTGCCTCACTGTGTTCATATTCACTGTTTGATCTCCACAAACATTCAGAAAGCATCCATGAATGTCAATGGACACAATTTTTTCTTTGCTTCATATGCACTTCCATCATTTTGTCACACCTCCCGGCTGCTGCCATCTATCACGCTGCATCAAAATGTAATGGAATACTGGTGGGAAGGTTCAACCTCTACTCCCATACCACCAACATCTGTCTCTGACATCACGGGCCAACATGATAAAATAGGAGGCATTACATTTGGAGCAGCCTTCATATAATTACAAGCTTCAATTTCGATACTGGAAAATAAATCTTGTACTTGGATTGTTACTGTGCACAATTAAAATACTATCATTTTTTCACCCTCTTCCAGTTATTTAGACAATTATGAATGTAACTAACTTTACCTTGGTGCAGGTGGAAGATGTATTTCAGTTTATAGCATAAGGAAATTAAGACATTGGTATAGGGAGTTTGATTTTATTTTGGAAAGTTGAGAATTTCACCTCTCATTTTCTGTTTAATACAAAAAAAAAAAAAAAAGCCACTAAATGAAAATAATTTACAAACCATTAGGCCAAAACAAATAAAAAAACCAACACCCAGAATCTTAAGTTTTTGTGTTGTCTAATTCAACAGCCTGATGTGAGTAAGGATGATCTTACAGTTATGTGAAAAAGTACGGAAATCACAACAAAAATATTACTTTTTCATAACACCTGCAGGGAAAAATACCTTTTAATTAGGTTGAAACTACTTACAATTAAAAAATGGTTCTTCTAGGCAAAATGGAGTTTCAAATGCTGCTTGACTATTTAAATCTACATTAAATATAATAAATGTAGAAGATATTTTTTGAGCCAGCTATAATTAGTTTTTTTTATTCTATGGTTATTTTGTCGAGCAATCTGTCTTTTTTCAACATGGTATGATGCAATTCGTAATATAAAGACTTGAATGATCAGTAATATGTGTGGAATCAATGATCTACTTAAATTCCCAGTTAGAGCTTTAATAGGTAAACTCAAAATTAATTTTCATTTCTGGGTTTTCTTTTGTTACGTTATAAATTTAAGTATGGCATGCCATTTATGTAGATACAACTAGTTTTTTTTTTTTTTTTTATTGTTATTATTCCTGTGTAAGTGAAAAGAAAGTAATTTTGTGAAACATAATCACTTCATATAGATTGGGGAATCATCAAATATTCAGTGTAAAAATCTTTGTGTTTGGACATGATAAATCAGGATTAAGTATAGTTAAAGAGATTTCAGAATACGTTTCACAGATACAGTCTGTCAGATCTCAGTCACATACTGTCTGTGAAGTATACTACATCCCTATGATCAAAGAGGCATCAGATTACATAAGACTCAGTTGGTTTTATGATGTACCACTGAGAGGTTAAAAATTCTGCTAGAAGGCAATCAGCTGTTTGTCATACAGTTTACCACAACAACTGCACTGACTGCTTGTGTATATGTATTTTTTTTCCTCTAGGCTGTACTTTGGAGGTACAAATTTTCCCAGCTCAAAGGTTCTTCAGATGATGGGAAGAGCAAAATCAAATTCCTTTTCCAAAACCCAGATAATAAACAAATTGAAGCAAAGGTAAAAACAACTTTTTTTCTTTTATAAATCTACCTTAAAACATCTATTACAGCAGCAGCTGGGAGACAAGAGGAGTAAATCAAGCTAAATGATTTAAAAGTCATTCAATGTTTGAAGTGAAAATTGAAAGAAAAAAACAAACAAACAAACAAAGAAATCTGAATAAACTGTTTGAATTTTTGGTAAGTTAAAGTCTTTTATAGAGTGCCATTACAGTAAAGAAAAAAAAAAAAAAAAAAAAAAAAAGACTTGCTGAGTTTAGGGGTATTTGCCAAGTCTGTTAATCGTTTTGATAAAAGTGGCTGAAAATTTGAATGCCCTATCTTTTTCTCTATACTTGGTATCATAAAGAAATAGCGCAAAACATCCTTGAGTCAATTTGGGCAGAAAATACAGCAAAGATCTAACATTTGTTACTACAGCTCAATAAAAAATATTGCAGATTAAACATATATCCTCTTACAAGAAGATGTCATTGAAGCTTTGTGTCTCGGTCTGTTTCAAAATTTCTGTTTTGAGTTGTGCTTTTGATTCAGGAGTTACTTTTTGAAAACAGTTACCCTGAAAGATTTATGGCAAATTTTATGAATGTATTTTGAGAATTTATTGTCCCAGTATGCATAAGGAAGTGATCTTCCTGGGAACATTGAAACTGCCTGAAAGACTGAATCAAAGGTCTTTTTCATTAGAATCCCAACATTTTTGTAATCCTGATTATGTTTGCTTGGATGTGCTTTAAAGCTGGTTTTTGAAGCCCTTACTATACTGTTTTCCCAGCTATTTATTTGATTTTAAATGTTATATTCAATATAACGAAGGTATACAAAAGCTCCCATTAAATCAGTAGAAATGAAGTGTGGTGGACTTTCAGTACAATCACATTTTTTCTTCATCTCAAACATAAATATTCTTATTTCCTTTGGCAAATGTTACAGTAGTACCGAATTTCTTTTCTTCACCAATAAGAAGCCATAACTTAACACCCTGAAGTTGTGAGGATAAATTTCTTTTAAGCAAATAATGGGAAACTTTTATTATGCTTCTAAGTATAGCTGGAAATTGAAACTCAACATTTCTTTTCTTATATTAATCTCGTATTGCTATTACATGGACACAAGATTTTAGAACTAGCTAAGTTAATGATAAAGTATTTCTCAGAATTTTCTTTGGAATCCAAGAGCCGAATAGTGATACTTCATTTCATCAATTTAAAAACAACACGTAGTTACAAATTTAGATGTCGAATAAGAAACATGGCTTTCATCATTTTATTCTTTTTTTTTTTTTTTAAATTAAATCTGTCATGCTAATCACTTTTTAAGACTCAGAGATATCCTACTACTTTATGGTACTGTTGTTCCCAGTTAAACTGAACAGAGCTTTATTTCTAGGAAACTTCACCTTTCCACCTTTTATCAAAGTAGAAATTATACCTCTAAATTATGAAGGCACAATATTGTACAAACTTACTAGCATCCTAATTAATATACTGTCATGTTCTCTGGATGCTTTTATTGATTATAAATTTAATCTTTCATGTTGATCAATTTATAAATATATATATATATATATAATTTTCTTGATACTCAAAGCAAGTCAGTTACATTATGATAAAAAAAATTGATCAGATTGTGTGGTGTTTGGACGGTGTTACAACATTTATCAAGTTCCTACTACTTTGCTTATATATGAAGTACATTGTTTAGACTAAAAACTATAAAATATACTTGTCAGTAGAAAGAATGAAAACATTTTTATGTCCTATTTTTTAACTTTATTTAGCTTAAAATTTTGTGAATAGGCCTCTCTGCATCCACTGAGCCTTTCAAGTATTTAAAGCACTATTCAGCAAGAAAAGATGTGGAACAATCTAGCTTCTATTTTTTGGACTTTATTAGCATTACAGAACTGGAGACATATCTATTTGGGAAACTCTCTAGTCATTGAGAAATGTTAATCAGATTTTAAGAAATGCTTGTAATGCCAGGTTTCATGCATGCTGTATGCAGGCTTCATTTGGAATCAGATGATGGGAATTTTTCTCAAACAGCTGTTAAAGGTTGTGATGAATATTCATAGCGAAAGCTATCACCACCTGTTAAATGAAACTCTGAGTTGCAGAAGGCCTGGAGACCTGCTGTTGTAAGGAGGACATACAGGGTAATGTTTTATTGAGATAAATATAATTGTCTGCCTATTATATTATGTGGGGAATATAGCTGGATGAGGACTTACAGCTGAGACGAAAAATTCTAAGGAGTCATTAACTTGTTAGGGCTTTTCATTTTTGCATTCTCAAACAGTAGTGAGAAATCAGTGTGGCAAGTAACTATGATACAGCTCAATAAGGTACTAGAAGTGAGAGTAGGTTTTTCCTCTTCATCATCAACATTATCATGCTCTGTGCAGAACCTGCTATGGTGTGTGCATACTTGATTTGAGACTCCTGCTATTCTTCTTCTGCAGTGCTTGTTTTCAGCATGTCTGAGTTTCAACTGTGCTGCTGACAAGATACGTTTAAAGTTTTTTATGTGCTATAATTCAGTTTCACCTTGCAAATGTAAAATGGTTCAGTTACAGATTGACTGATTGATTTCCAGTAATACTGGTTTAATCCTAGAATTCCTTCATGTAAAAATGTGAGTTATCAAAATCCAAATGCTTCCTATCTTCACTTCATATAATGCTGCACATTTGTGTGCAGCCTGTATGTGTACAGTTATGGCTTGTTGTGTCTGCGTGATGATATCCTTTATATCTTAAATATTTACTCATGACCTAAAGAATTAAGAGTGGTAGAGTGTTGAGGTAGTTAATGTTATTAACATTTAAAAAATAATTATGCGGCAGTGTTTTAAATTTTATCCTTACTGACTTTATAGTTTCCTCTTTATTCCGATTGAATATAAAGAACAATAATTTCTAGTGTTACGAAATCTGAGATATTTTTTGAGAAAGAAATGCAGAACTACATCCTTTCATCAGTCAACTTTTGTTTTTGAAAAACACACTTGCTGTCAGAGTTTACATTCCTAAGCGAAAGTCCTTCACTGACACTGAAAACCTAATATTTTTATAACGCTGTCAAAATATTTTAGTGTTTTTCATGCCTGACTTAACAAAATTAAAAATGGCATGTTTTGAGATGAACAACATATGCTTTATATTTGGTTACTGTTTAATTAGGAGTACTTCTTTCAGGCTCAAAAATGGTTTAATGTTTAAACGTAGAGACTTTGTACTGATGCTTTTGTTTGGCCTCACTGAAACAACATCATGCTACTGTAAAGATGCATAGTATAGAATAAAGGAAGTGTTTCCTCGTAGACGTGAACAATTGCAGTCTGAAAAACCTGAACAGTAATTACCATAGGTCACACTGGTGGTCAATGGCAGAGTGCCTGCCAATCAAACACCTGACTTTGAAGGTCTCATAGTTAAGGTCTAAGTAGTTTCCGAGATATAAACCATTTAGAGGCAACATTAATCATCAATACCTCTTGGACATTCCAATCTGTAGGTTATTTCCCAGCTGTCACTCAGCAGGAGATATTGCACAGGTTTGCACAGTCAGAATTTTTCTGACTGAGAGCTACAAAATAGAGCAATCGGCATTGTAGAACATGGAGCCTATGTATCCCTCTGTTTCAGCACTGTTGTTCTGCTCTGGTTTCACTGAAAAAAAAAAAAAAAAAGAAAGAAAAAAAAAACAGGACAGATCTTTCTTTTCATTTATAAAACACAGAGGGATACATTATGCATCTTGCTATCTAATTACCTATTTCTTTAGCTATAACTTCATGATCTGTTAATGGCTTTTCAGCATGAGAGCAGCTTCCGGAGGCTAATGGAATCTCAGCACTGTAATAAACTCAGAGCACTATAATCTTCCATTGTACCTGACTGAGTAGTGGATTACTGCAATGGAAGCAGTTTCATGTTTTTCTGAGAAAAATGTCTTAAACCTATGAAAGATTCTGTTTCTGTACATATAGACTCCCAAACATTGCAGTATCCAATATCTATATATCTAAAGCAGAATTGTTGCTGGTTTTTTGTTTGTTTGTTTTTTGTCGTCTGTTTTTACTACATACCATTTCTATTTGAATTTTGTAAGTAAATATAATAACCAGTAATTTCTGTAAACTGAAAGGTTGTGTGACCCATCGCAATGGCAAGGATTTGATGCCTAGTAAAGTAAAGTAGCAACAGGCTTACACAGTTGGGCTGAGAAAATGAATGTCCTTCCATTTCAGCTCTGTAACATAAAACATGGTGTATATCTCAAAAAACTATCCTCTCTGTCCTTTTACCTTTCTGAACTTGCAAGGATTTTTCACAGCTTAACAGCTTTCTCAGCAAAACTCGGCCAAGGTCACACAGTTGCACTGTTAGCTTTTGTTCACAGACTAGCTAATGCCCTAAGCTAAGTGTCATGGAACAGTGGTGAGCAGCACATGAAGATGACGACCTGGTCAATTGGGAAAAACTGTGGTGTCAGTAAAAGAAGGTGCATAACTCTAAATATCTGGGAGTAATGAATAATGCATTAATAACATTTAATGGTAATTAATTTGTACTTGAAACTATTCCATATAGAAATCGAATCTAAAATAAGACAGCCTGCATTAGAGATGTTGTAATGCGAACATAATGTTTGCCTTCTGGTATGTTGTAAGGTGCCTTGATGAATGCTTGCACTATTTTCCAGGCTGATATTTCTGTTCATTTCAAGTATATTCTCCAAAGTATAATTTTAATTTAATCCCTTAAAGCCTTGAGGGCTTTTCTGTGAGCATCACAGTGCTCTTCAAGTTTAGAATTTCAGCTTTAAATGGGTTTCAAGTATCTATCTTAGTATTTTTACAGAGTGATTGCTCAATTTGCAGTGACTGTGTTCTGAGTTCAGATTTTTGAACTGCGTGAGTTTGCGTGACTCACTTTTTAGTTTTCCCATGTCTTGCTCAAAGATTGTATTTTTTTGTATCTGTTTAAAATCAGATTCTATCCCAGTATATAGACATTTGATGAAGCGACAAATATATTCACATATCAGCAGTTTATATGTGACAATACCATGATTTTTTATGAATCATAAACTAACAGTTACTTGAGTTTGTATATGTAGAGTTTAGGTAGCTGTGTCATTAATATAATGAAATAGTAGCTGGTTTTGTTGTTTTTTGTTGTTGTTGTTGGTTTTTTTTTTTTTTGTTTTTGTTTTTTTTTTATCTGACAACATTATCTGTATTCCTTTTTTCCATATTTGTCTTCTTCATCTTTTGTTGGCTTACACTGTCCTGTGCAGAAACAATGAATCTTCAGATTAATAATCTGAGAATATCTGGTATAACGACAGCAATGTTGAGTGAAAGTAGTTTGGTCAAGAAGGTGGAAGGATGATTTGAAGATCAAGATCAAGAGGATACAATAATATTCTAGTCTGGAAAGTGGAACAAGAGTAAATTGTGTTTTTGTGCATGGATAAGTAGTTGCAGCTTAAATTTGGATTTCTTTGCTTTTTTGTGATTCAGAGCATCTGCTTTTCCCTACAGCTTGCAGACTTAATAGCTTGACAGAATATTTCTTCAGGTTTCTTAGGATTTATTTGTTTGTTTACTTGAAGCTGCGTGTGCAATGTGCACTACTTTGCTAGATAAAAGTGTGTTCAGACAAGCATATGACTGACAGCAGAGCATTCTAAATGCGAAAACAACCAGGGGCAGTTAGATATGTAGAAAAGTCTGTGGGTTGCCCTCCATTTTATGGCAGTACTGCAGACCTATGGCGATTTGAAGGTGCAAGTTTTCAACAGAAGTTGAGGGAATGTTTTGTCTGTCAGCAGTTCTTTGTGAACCTTCATCTGTTCATTAAACTTGATTGTGATTAGGCTAATTTGCCTGGAAAGTGTTGTTCCTGATGGATCTCTTTGCATCAATCTTACTCCCTTGAATTCAGCTGCAGCTATTAATCAGACATCTATATACTCATCACATACCAATATCAGCCCACTGTGTTTCACACTGCTTCAAATTCCACTTTTAATGTGAAATCTGCTTGTAACAGAGTCAGTGTGTGACTTTTTTAGCCTCTAAGCCACATCCACTGCTGGGGAAATAGATGTGATCACAAGAGTGTGACTTCTGCCCTGCACAGTTACAACACAAGCCATCAGTGTCTTTAAGTAGCTTCATAGCATTTGGTTATACGCTTATATTTGTGTCTTCTAAATAAGCTGCATTACTTGGATCCTCTACCTAAGCCACCTTAAATGCATGTAATTTCTTAAACTGTGTGATCAGAGAGATCTGTTTAGTTTGCTGCATGATGCACCTATTGAACTGAAAGAATTATGTTTCATGCCAAGTAGTATCTAGCATTCGTTGACTTGTTAGTGCTCATCTTTACTATCAAATTAATTTATGTATTGTTTCATTGCTAACAGCAGTAGCAAACCATTGGGACCTTCAGCAGTTATGCCATTGCCTCACACATTTTTATTGAAGGTCCATTGAGCAATGGATCTTCCCAATGTGTTACTGTTGTAGAAACGCCTGTGTTAACTGTACTAATACACTGATAATAACTGTACTAATGCACTGTGAAAATTCAGTGTCCAGCAGCCATAATTATGATGTACATAAGAACTTTCAGCAATAGGATTACCTAATTGACTCGAACAATTCTCAAACTGCAATATTTGTTTTAATAGACTTGCTCTGCTGACACATATTTGGAAAGACAGTCTTTCCAAATATAACACAGAGCTGACATTGCAAATATTTGTAAGATCCACTAAATATTTATATTTTCATCTTAAGCTTCAGTATTATTTTATAGTACCAAAGAATAGATGTTATTAATAGAAAGGTTTCAAATGAAAAGTAACGATTTGAGTGACTGATGCTTCTTATTCAGACATAGCTTCCATAATTCCTTGTTTTCTTATCTTTGACTTTCCCCTATTTTTCCCATCTATGATAAATTTTCTTATTTTGAAATTTGGGTAGAAGGGGAAGAAATCTCTGGCACTGTAACAAAACTACACTTTTCTCAATGTTTAAAAATGAAAGTATCTCTAAACAGAATTTTTTTAAATGAATACAGATGGCAGGTATGTGAAACTTGGCACAAACTTCATCATCTTTATTGTGAATTGGTACTTAGGGGAGTTTAAAGAAGCTTGTAAGCAATTAAAAAATCATTTCTGAGCATTTCCAAAGGACATCTGCTCAGGTTGTAAGAGAGTTGAACAGAACTCCACCCATTTCGTACATCACTGGGAAACTCTGCATATGTCTTCTGCTTGCAGGCAGTTGTTCCATCACACACATAAGGGATTTTTGAATGTCTCCATAAAGTATTTAAGCAGTATCTTCCAGAAAAAAAGGAAGGCTCATGTAATTTTTAGAATTTTATCTTTTTTGTTCTTGTTAAATTTACAATACTATAAATATTGCTTTATTCAGAAGCAAAGCTGTCAGCATTAAATAACCTGGAAATATCAGTACTAGACAGAAACACAAATAGGATATACCACAGTTCTCTGTTCCTGGTTTCAGTGCAGAAATCTACATAGGCAGTGAATCAAAGCAGAAAGATCATAAATCTGCATCACCATCCCTATGTGCATAACATCAGTGTCTGCTTTCATACAGATTATTTTTATTGATTAAATGCTAACATCACACATACTAAAGAATAACTAAAAAAAACCCATCATCATTATGATCCCAGTGATAAGATAAAATCAATTAGACACAAAGGAAAACATTTCTATGTATATATATATATAAATTATTTTGTTTTGTTTTGTTTTCACCTTGTTTCTAAGAAAATGTCATCTGAGGAGATATAAAAAAAATGCAAATTAAAGTAGAACACAAAGAGTTTTGTCTAATATTTTTAATAAGATTAAAACTCCAAGTATGTTCCTTACTTTTGGTACAATAAAAATGCCTCAGTGAAAACAGAGCCAGAATATCTCTGTATGATAGTAAGAATATCTCTGTATGATAGTAGCACTTGTTGAAAATTTTTGTTTTGCATTGTTTTCTTAACTAAAGATTCGCATAGGTGAGATAATAGTTACCACTGAGTGGTGACATGACAGATGAGCATGACATATATAGAACTCAACATTACTGATCTTTGTGAGTACATGCAGCAGTAACCCAGAGGTATGTAGACACAATGCACTCATTCCATTGATTGATTTATAAAGAGAAATCAACCTGCAAAATGCACGTGATTTGCATTAATAACACTGGGGAAAAACATACTGTATATGGCTGTCACATTCCTTCCTCTTTAGCAGGAAGAACCTCATATTTCTGTGCAGCCACTTTACTTAGAAATTTGTCCATATTAGCTTCCAAAAAATTATTTATGGAATAAATAGTTCTGTCTCTTAAGTGCCTATCATGTAGAACTATCAGATACATCAGCAGAATTACCTCAGACTATTTCCATTTAAAACTCAATTCATTCCTGGGTGCATGTTTGTGATGTCTTCTTTTGCTTCATGATTAATCTTTCTGTTTTCACTTCCAGGAGCTGGAGTTTTCCAACCTGTTTGCAGTCCTTCATTGTATCCATTCATTCTTTGCAGCCAAAGTGGCTTGTTTGGACCCTTTGTACGTAGGCAGTCAAGCGACAGCTTCTGCTGCTCCCACAACTTCTGGTACTGGCAAATTAAAGTATACAACTTGATATCTCACATTACAGCACTGCCATTTATCAAAAAGACTTAATGTATAGATATTCATAAGATGTGAAACTTTGGTGAACCATGTACATGGAAACCAATCCTGGAGACAAGACATCTTGCAGCATCAGCAGATAGATGGTCACGTGGGATCATAAACTCATTTCTGTTCTGCAAGACACCAGTAAATAATCCTCGCAGAATCCCCAGAATAGGATGGATATGCTTTTAGTATGATCTATTTGTACTTATTTAGTGCTTTAACCAACACTGGAAGCAAAGGAACAAATGATGCAATGAGGCATTTCGGTATTTAATAAAATTTTCAAATTGCAGTAATAACACACAAAAAGAATTGTCATTTTCCTGTTTTCAAATGTTTTTATGACAATATGCTAAACTCTGAGTATGAACTTAGTACACAGTGATTATATTATAAATGACATAAGAGAAAGCGACAAGCAGTTAGTACATAATGATGAGGAGATGAGCATGAAAAGACATTTGTGTAAGTATCTCTTCAAATAAGAAAGCACTTTAAGCACCGTTGTAATCCATACTTCTTTCCGTATGTGGAGTCATGGTACTTTTTCTATTTTATTCTTTTAGCATTAGCAGCAAAGATATAGCCATATTGACTGACACAGTTCAAAACAAAAAATCCACAACCCCGCTTCCATGAGTAAGTTCTTCTTCTTCAATTAAAAATAATATAATATTACTTTAAATATAATAACAAGTGAAAGTTTGTAAAATAGCATTTCTACTATTTACTTCCTCAATTTTTTGGAGAACTAAGAATCTGATAGTTTTTGCTCACATGATACAGATGTTGTATTTGCTACAGAAACAATCCACCTAATGCATTGTTTCCATTATTAACCTTGATTTCACATCATAAGGTCTCAAGAAAATAGACATTCAATTTTATTTTTGAAAAATGAGTCCAACCATTGAATTTGTAGTGATTTCTTTTTTTATATTATTAGTAAAAGGCAGGAATAAAATAAATAGCCTTTAATGATAGAAGCAAAAAACACACAATGTCCTTGAATATTAAAAAAATACTACATCACTCATGACCATATAACAGAAATAGTAGTTCCAGGGTCTCATTTAATGATCATTTAATGATCAAATCTGAAAGAATTGTACATTTATAACTAAAAACTTATTAAAATATAGTTTTCAAAAATAATTTAGTATTGTGCTACTACACATCAATGAAAATGGCAAAATGGTGGGAGTTACGCGTGGGTTATAGCTGAAAGATCAAAAAAAGGTGAAGTTTGTTTGTTTCTTTGTTTTTTGCAGACATAAAAAAAAATCTAAAAGACTGCAGAAAATGCATTTGTTGCACATTCAGAATGTGTGGAATATTTTAAATGATGCTTTCTGGGATTTCTACTTAAAATATTGAAATCTACATGTCCTTTTTTTTTTTTTTTTCCCTCTTCTTATAAAAGCACATGGAAGGTAAGAGTTAAGGAAACAATCTCTCTTGTGCAACTGGAAAACAAACTATTTTACATCCATTTTTACATATTAAAAGAAGAAAAACTTCATAATTGAAGCCAGAGGAAAGCTTCTTCCAAATGGGAGCGATTCAAATGTTAAATGGGAACAAAAGATGAATGAACTGTCAGGGTAAATCATGCATTTGTCTTTTTGCTTTTCAGTAGAAGTATTTGGATTTATGTGTGTTAGAAAGCGTCCTTGCAAAATGGAGACTGGAGGTAAAGTTGATTCTAGTTCAAAACAATCTGAAAATACATTTTCTGGGAACTGTTTGTCATTGTCATAGGACTACCGGTATGTTCTTACTTCTTAGTAGAACTCCAAGTGTTACAGGATTTCATAATTGTGTTCCACATTTATTTTCCATCCTAAATACAATGGAATCATGTCATAATCCAATGATTAAATATTTTAAGTGTCATCAAATTCCAACATTTTCATAGTCATCATCCTGTTTACATGAATCTTCCCTAAATAAGGGTGTTAGATCCTAATCTCTGCATGACATGTGAAACTGCTGTGGCTATTGAGTTTATTCCTGAGAGATTACAGGCCCCAAATGTTTTGAATCCAAAATTGCGACTTTCTGAGAAGTTTGCTGATGACTCAATTGTTCTCCTTGTCAAAAAGGCATGTTCTGGAAAGACGGTTTTTACAGACCACCAGCAATGATGCAGCTTTGTATCTGTTAATGGCAGTTCTCTTCCATGCTCCCAAATTATCTTATTTTGGTAAACATTGCATTCAGACACCTAGTACAGGCATGTGAATGCCTCTCTAAGTGCTCTGGTGGTAGTAGAAGAATCTAAAATTAATCAGTTGAACATTTTCCCTTCAACTAGCTCAGATGATATGCACAATGGCACCACTGAAACCAAGGGTTATTTAAGGGACATTTGTTTAATATTGTTAAGTGAGCATAGCATTTATCTGAAAGAGCAGAAACTATACTGTTGCAAGTTGATGTAGATTAAGATTTTCCATGATTTGAAAGAAAAATAAATAAATAAATAAAATAAAATAAAATAAAATAAATAAATAAATAAATGTTGCTTCTTGTGCAGAAAGTTTTTACGCCATGCACTTTTGGGGCCTGGATTCTACCAGGGTATTCTGCAGAACTGTCATGTGTTTTGTTTGTAGAAATGCTGTACTCATCAGAGAGAATTTTTTTTTTAGTTGGACGTTGAATACAAAATATTTAAGAGGGAAACAGACACACAAAAAAAGAACCTGTGATTTTTATGTTTGTTTGTATTTTGAAACCCCATATTTCAAAGACCTGAACTTGTGGGGCTTAATCAATATTTTTAGTTTCAAGAAAATAAAGGTTACCTTGGGCAAATATAAAATGCCATGGCCTTGACTACGGGTCAGTACTGGCTTATGAGTGTGTGATTCTGAGGGCCTTTGGACTGACCTCAGATTATTCAGAGGTGGCTGCATCAGGCTTGCCCTCTTATAGCAAGTAGAAGAGAAATTCAGCCTTGAACCAATGGGAAAATTTTAAACTCTGTGTCATAACTAATCATAAAACAGCAAAATATAATTTTAGTGACTATGTTTTTTATTTAAATACAAGAAGACGACTCCAAATTAAAGCATAGTTGACTTCATGTGCATATGTCAAAATACAACCTTTATGTTGCAAGCTATCATTTAACATATAAAATATAATGAATGCAAATATTTTGAAAGTCAGCATGGCCCACTGATTACGAAGAAAAACACAAAATCATAATAAACTGTCAGCTCTTGCTGAAAATCTGCATACAAATTAAAGCAAATATTGAAAAAAAAAAAAAAAAAAGACACAACAAACCTTATTTGCCACAAAGTAAAATATAATTTTTCTTTATGACATCAAAAATAAGTTAAATTAAAAAGTATATGTCTTTATACTTAGTACTGTGCCTATCGAAGTGATGTTATATAGCATACCAAAAATATACACTCGTTAGTATCACAAAATGTGTTTGATTTAATTTGCTTTGCTTTATGATGGAAATTTTAGATAAGTTGACCTCCACAGAATTAACCATATGTTAGGTTATAGTGTTATTATAATTTTGTTATGAAACGTGTTGCAGATTTGTAGACATGTTATTCTAGATTTCATAGGTGAATGAATATATTTCATTTCTTTTATCTGTTTAAAAACACAGTTCCAGAAGGCACTCTTGAAATAAAGATCAGGATATTATAAAATATTGGTCATTTTATTTTGTTAATAAAGTGCAGCAAAAAGTTTGTAAATTGTAAGCCAGTTATTTTTTAAAACAAATAATTTGACATTTTGGCTGTTTAAACTAGAATTCATAAAAATGTAAAATAATAACATACTGTATCAATATACTTTGAGATGAGATTCCTGAAACGTATTTTTTTCCAGCTTAGTTCTTGATCCCACAGAAACTTTGCTTTACATTTGCTTTATATGCTCTGACTTCATCAGAATATCTCACAGTGCACAGTTAAACACGAGTAAGTCGTTGTGGTTACTACAGCTTATTACTTTAAATATGATTTCTTTTATGCAATGCCTTAAGATGTTTCTTACATCAAGAGAAATATTAAAAAGGCTAAAAATCTCATGAATGTACAATTGCTGCCCTTAAAAATTCAGCAGCTTTGCTACATATTGTTGTCTAAGTACCCCCTAGTATTCTTTATGCCAAAAAGAAAGTACAATTTTCATTCTGATATAGCAATGCCAAGTCAAATGTATATATATTAATATTAAACACAAACCTATGTACTGCACTTTTAATTCCCTTATGGGATCTAGTTCCTGAGAAAGTGTTTTGTCTCAATAATAATAATAATAATAATAATAATTTAAAAAAATAATTTAAAAAAAACCCTGATTTTAATAGTTCATCTTTGGGCAACTCAAAATGTTCAAATTTGGGCACGTGATGCACTCACGCAAGTTCCTTAAATTTAAATACCTATCATAGACACCTTGAGGACCTCAAAATGGCAGGGCAGGGCCATTTTGAGGTAGGACCATGACTTAGCAGCTCTTAAGCTGTGTGTCGTCCTAGTATGATGAAAGAGGTGCAGCCACTTTCGTGGTTTCACTTGTTCTAGGAATGTGCTTTTGAAGCCAGGTTCCTTCCCTCTGCCTGTTACTGTGTTGTTCTTCATTTGCCAGGGCAGTCTTTAAGCACATGAACTGGAATCTTAGGCTAAAACTAAATCAGCATCACACCAATAGTTCCAACTCCTAATGGACATTCAGCTCATACAATCTAAGTAAAGCAAGACCAAAGCCAGAATTCCTCTAAATTGCTACAGCTGCTGGATCCTGGTGAGCATCCTTTCTGCAAAGTGGGTGATGCCCATGTACTGTGGGTTCTGGAAGAACCTCCTTCATTTACAGAAGGTGACTGACAGATGTCCAGGCTGGGATAGTCTGCATTGCCCTCTTCTGTCACTCCAAAGGGAAATAATTAAGGTTACATTATGCTGGTCAGCCCCTCTCCCTGCTGTGTCTTTCTTCCTCTCTATCAGAAATACATACTTATAAATTCACTCAGAGTGTTTCAAGAACACTGCCCCATTGTCTTTGCTCTATACAGATAGCAAAGCTGCACTCGCTCAGCTATGTAAGGGAGCCTCTAAATCTGTAACATAGTCAGGGGACAATATTCAAGCATTATGGCTAGGGCATCTGTGTACCAGAAGAGTCTTGCAGTCTGTGATCAACATTCAGAATAAATTGAGTACAGTCATCTTCAAGCTTAAGTGCTTTCTTGGCTAGGAGGGCTCGTAAGTGCAATTTTGTATCATTCCTGGAATAAGGTCCATAAGGTCAATACATTTTTATTTACTTGGTTCCATTTTCCCATTTTGAGGAAGTTTAGTGAGAATAGCAATTCATATTCTGTCAGAATCAGATGGAAAATCAGGGATACTGAAATAAAAAAAAAAAAATTCTATTCGGATTCTGTATATTGTAACAAAACATTACAAACTCTGTTAAAGTATGCTGAACAATGTAAAACTAAATGCATTCACTTAGCTAACCTAGTCAGTTTTCATTGCTATGATATGCAACCTTCCACTTTCAACAACTCACTATGAGAATCTCAATCATATGTTACAGAAATGGCTTTATTATTGAGTATA